TTGTGAAATAGAAGCCAATACGTTCTTGCTCAATCCTGTGTCGCTTTGAAGGTATCATGGTTGTCATCCTCAGCCTAAGCAATGTAATTTACTGTAATTTGGATTTCAAAATGACTGAGTGACGTTTTTTTGACGCACTGGTCAACTCCACCATAGCGAATCACATGACTTTGTGACATAATCAGTAAACACAGCGAAAAATATCTTTATAAGTAAAGAATTGTCGCATAAAAATTAAATACACGGAAAATGGCAAATTTCACGAAGTCTAGTCTGATTAATCTTTTTACATAAAAAAAAAAAGTCCAAGCAAAGGGGGGGCGTACGCCCTCTACGCCCCTCTCTGGATCCGCCACTGGTTGGAATAGAAGCTATTTAAAAATTTGCACAAACTGCTATTTTAATTCTTCACATATTTTGTTATTAAATTTGGGATGATTTCATTGACAACAACCTTTCAAGGGAATAATTAATTCAGTTACCGGTAATCAAATGCACCGATCATTACTTGTCATTTCACTTGACCCATATATTTATCTCTCAAACGACGAATTCTTAAAGCTACTAAATCAAAATTAAGTTTGAAAAAATAAAAATAATGGAATCTGAAGCGATATCATGTTCTCATTTTTGATTTAAAAGTTATAAGATTAAAACAAGAGTTTTGAAACACGCCGGAATGTAAAAGGTGTACACGACATGCTTCTTCCTTTTTTTTTTTTTTAGCATACTTCTATAATTTATTTTAAGATACTATTGTCAAAGGTAGAAATTCAGATCACTGATGCATCTTTCTGATAGTACTTTGTCAGCTTTCCGCATCTTCAAGAAAAAATATGATTACACTTTACTGAATCTGTTAATGTTTTTATATCTTGTCTTTAATCATAATGATGCATGGATTCTAGGAAGAGCCCGTACAATCGTAAAAAATTGTTTTTCTAAAATGTTTGGCGTTTAACTTATACAAATCATACGTATGAAAAACGGACATGCACGGAATATTTGAAGTTTTGTTAAGTAGGATGATCATTTAAGTTTTATGACCAACTTATGATAGCAAGGGGATATTATATTTACTGGTCTGTGCATCCGTCCGTTCTTCCGTTCTGTTAAAAATATAAAACGTTTAAAATTATATACCAAATTAGAGTTTGAACCGGATTAAGTGGTGCACTGAACATGGAAATATGATTATGTGAAGGGGCACGGTGTCTAAAGGTCACACATTCTTGTTGCAAATGTTTTGATTAATACATGTACATGTATATGTATCTTCCATATTCATAACTGGTTCTTTGGTCTTGTGGTAGCGCACTCGCCTCGACAGTAATCCCTCAAGGGTGATCGGGGAATAGAAATACGGTCATTATTGGTCTTATTCCGATCGACCGTTAAACCATTGCCGAAGTGGGGAGTCCGTTTGGCTGTGCAATGTACAAGTACGCAGTCCCGTCCGGTCAGAATGGGGACGTTAAATCCGATGCCTCTCGTAGAGAGAATGTATTTCTGGTGAGGCAAATGATTTGAATCTTGGCAGTCAAAGCATCACCTTCGTTAAAAGACGTCAATGCCAATAGGGAGTGGACGATTAATTGAAAATATTAATCGCAAAATAGGTGTAGGTGATCATACTCTTGATAGGTCACACACTAGCAAAAAGATCCTGTCTATGAAAAATCCAGATTTGTGGAATTTTATCATGAAATAATATTTCTAGTGCGTATTAAATCAATATATTTCAATGAAACTGCTGGTTAAAGGTTTAATTCTCAATATTCAGTTTCAGACAGGTCCTGATCAAAACAAAAATAATTGACAGAATTATATGTATGACCTCCTCTAAAATGCTTTTGTACAGATTTAAGATCCACTATGTCTTCTAACTTTATACGTTTAGCTTTTGTCAAAATGTATGGATGATAACAACTGGGTGAACTATGAAGTCTTGCTAATATCAACCAAGGTAGAAGAGTACTACATAAAATGTAGGAATGCCATGTGTCTGTTGAAAACTATGTCCACCAAAAGTAACAAGTTCGTTGTCAAAAAAAAAATTAAGCATCATATCAGTTTCACATTTATGACCTCTTGTTTGAATCAGTTTTTTGCGAGGTAGATTTTGTCTGTTACTTAAAAAAGATATTTGCATCTACCTTGTTCATTTAATGAAAGAAAGTTACCAAGACGTTAATAATGAGGAATGAGTGAGTAAAGAGTAAAGCAGTCAACGTTTTGAACCGTCGTCACTCAGTATACTTTATACTATGAAGTACACGGTATATAATTCTATTTATCTCTCTTTTTTAAAGGTCAAAAATTTAGAAGCTACACCACTGCCCGAGTGCGGGAAATCATGGGCTCGATCCTCGCTCGTTTCAAATCGAAGATTTGCTGCCTCTCTGCCAAGCACGCAATATTTAGGAGCTAGAGCAAAGATTGGTCGGTCCGGAGTCAAAATCATGTGTCCTGGTAGGATTACATGCCTTCCTGCGGTATAATACAAAGTATGGTTCATATTCATCTTCTCGTCCTAAATATGCATATGTAAAATACATTTGCAACGAACACTTATATATATGGCCCTACATTCTATTAAAACTTATATTTTATGTTAGACTTCTAACGTTGCCTTTACCCCCCCCCCCCCCCCCCCCCCCCCCTTTTTTCAAAATCCTGGACCCGCATCTGGCAACATCTTATTATATTATGTTGTTCAATGTTACTTACCTTACACATTTCCGTTAATGATCTATTCGGTAAAATGAATTCGGTGACCCCCTTTTAATTGTTTATCAATAAAATGGATCAAATACTATAATTTAATTTATTTCAAGGGATATAACAAAACTTGCCTGGAAATGTCTTTTGTCTTTGGACTATAAACGATAGAATTCCCGTTAAACAAGGCAATACAGAAGAATCCCTAATCGAACACACCCTCTAAAAAACAACCTATATAGGGATTTTTTAAATTTTTATCAATACATTTTATTATATATGAAAAAAACTTTTGTTTAGAAATTAAATGGAAGCGATAGTTTTATCTCAATTTTCAACTTTTATAGAGAGACAGATTCTGACAAACTCTGGTTTCGATATTTCTAAAATTGTCAGAAAAATATCCTTCTAAATATTTTCCCCGCAACAAATATAATAAAAAGACAGATAAAGAAAGACAGAAAAAAAGTATAATAGGTCGTTCATCTGCAAAGTATATTGAAAAATAATTATCATAATCAAAACCAGAGACATATAATACATGTATTATATGTCTCTGTCAAAACCATGAAAGATAACTCAAATCGTACGTATGATAGGTATGGGATACGTGTGTTTATCAGTGAAAATAAAGGGCGGGAATCTGGAAAACCACGTGATAAATAAAAATGCAAGATTTCTATCATTTTTCGTCATGATAAATTTATTTTATATGGACGAAAAGTCCAGTGTGTGATTTTAAAAGTCTTGGAATACTTTGTTTAAACTTGAGCGACGTATTTAATCAAGTTCCGTACGTCGAGTTACGTACGTATGTCATTTTATTGGAAATCTCTATTAAGGTATATATGAATTTTTTTTCAGAGACAAGTGCCTGTGATGTCTACATATATAGATATATATATGTGTGTGTATGTGTGTGTGTGTGTGTGTGTGTGTGTGTTTTTTTTTTTTTTTTTTTTTTTTTTTACAGAAACTAGTGCCTAAGACCTGAGACTACTGTTATCACGAGCAAGGATTTGTATAGCCTCAGCTCTGACAGACATCATAAATGTTATCAAGCAGTGGCGGATCCAGAGGGGGGCGTAGAGGGCGTACGCCCCCCCCCCTTTTGCTTTCACTTTTTTTTTGTAAAATGATTAATCAGACTAGACTTCGTGAACTTTGCCATTTTCCGCGTATTTAATGTTTATGCACCAATTCTTAACTTATAAAGATATGTTTCGCTCGTATTTACTGTAATATATATCATATGCGTTAAACAAAAATTCTGGCCGTATCTTGATTGAAAACAATAATCTTGTCCACTTTTTTTGCTATTAGAAACAAAAATTTCCAACAGAATAATTTAGCATTAAATGAACATGATGAATAAAAAAACGGGCGTAATTTTTTTGGGGCCGGGGGATTTGCATGTAAATCCCATATCTGACCGGAATGTCTGTTTCGTCGAACTGATAAAATGAATATTTTTTCAAGGCCCGACTGCAACCTGCCTGCTGGGTGTTGCCTTTATGTCTCCATTTGTCGACCGTCATTCATATATTCGTTGTCAGTTCAGACTCATTCGTAGCCTTTGGTTGATTTGGAACCCCTCACTTCCCTTGTTGGGTGAAACATTTCAACCAAACATTTGGATAAAAATTGCTTGTTTGTCTTTCTTAACTCGTGTCAGTCGTATTGTAAATTTCATTGAATAGCCCGGCGTATATCTTGTTTACAACAAGAAATCCGTGACGTTATGCTAACTAAACATACAACAAACGAGAATTTTCCATGTCAATTTTTTACTGACAAGTCCCACATCAAATATATTAGTACATAGCTTTGGATCCGTCCAATCATTTTATAATAGACAATTAATGGGGAGAATACGGCATCAAAAATGTCCAACCCTAACACTTTAACTATAAAATATACATGCCTTACGTCAGGAACCGTTAAAAAAGTGCATTTTTTTGCACTTATTTTATGTTTTTTAGCCAAAAAAAAAGGTCCAAAAAAGTGTCGCCTTGCTCCGCTCGGCGATGTTTATTTACATACTTCGCCCCCCCCCCTTTCCAAAATCCTGGCTCCGCCCCTGTCAAGTAAAAACTAATTGATGAATGTAGTAGTTTTTTCACGTCCTGTACCAAGTGTATTTTTGTAAGTTCTATTTTCCCTGTATTGAGCCGATACCAGGAGGTTGAGACTACTATTATACTCCCTTATACTAAAGATTTCAAGGAAAAGTTTCCGGGTATCGACCGGATTCAATCCAGTTGTTATAATAAATTTCCCACGTCAACATCTCACATGATTTAGATGAGCTCCATTTTGATCATCATCTCGAAAATATTTTGTGAAGCTGGATGACATTGGCTGGTAGTTGACAAACAACAGATAGCCAATGGCGTTAAAGAAAGTGAAAGGAACCCTTGAAAGGGTGTTAGACAAGAATTTGCAGGATTTAGTTCGAGGAATCCGCAATCATAAAGAAAATGAGGTGGGCCGGGAAATAAATCAATATCAATTTGATGCTTGAAATCAAAGTTTGTTTACACATAAGGGGCGTTTTTAACTGCAAATAATACTGAAAATAAGTGATGTCGATGTTAAGCTAAATAAAATTACCAATTTTTGTTCTCTGTTACTATCCCATAAGCTTTATGGCTATATATTTTTTAACTAGTCACAGTTGCTACCTTACTCTTAAGTTCTTCCTTGCTTAACTTCCAAAGAATATTCAGTAATTTATTATAAAATCACATCTCTACAGAATCATAATTTACTGTTCAAGTTAAACTGATACCAACAGCTCAATGAATGCATATTAATAAAAAAAAGAGTTGATGTACAATGTATATATACATTTGTATGTCAATGAGATGTAGCAACCAAGTGACACAGAAAAAAACAGAGACAAAGGTCTAAATGTAAATTTAAAATCCATTCACCAATTTGAGGAAGGTGCATCAAGATCATATCCCAAAGGTTATTGGTTTTTGCATGTTTGTTTTTCTCTCCTGCTTGTAAACTGCAATGTCACATGACTCATCAAGTGCTAACCTTCTAAACTCTTGCTTCAATCCAATTTTCAGATCCCATAAATTAGTTTAATTGAGCTACATGTATGTGGTATTTAAGAACAGCATGTTTTCAAAGAGCATTTATATAAGATATATATTTTTTCTCTCATTCTGACAAAAGTTTTTGTGACGGGATGTTTTTCCTGTCATGTTGTCGTAGGTTTTTTAGGACCATAATAAACAGACCCTTGGACCATCCTACCATTTGAGCTCCCTTAAGGAGCTTACAGTACGCACAGAGAGTTTGTAATCGCGAACTCTAATCACGGATTTCGGAGTGTAGCGGTGTCACACCGCGAATCACGGATTATACTCCCAATTTCCTCCAAAGATTCTCTCCCAACACCGCGTGGCTGTTAATTGGTTTATTGCCCATCGGATGTACTGAAAACTAATGACGCGTGACAACATAATCGGATTAGCCAGATTTATTACCTTTGTACATTTAATCGATCTTGATTGCACCTGTGTGCTTTAAAACACGGTATTAAAATTTCCTTTCTTTGACAGATAAAAATGTGACATTTTCGTTCAAAATAAGATAATTATTCTTGTATGTATTTGCCCCATGTCATTGTCATTTGAAATAAAACGTACAAACGTATAAAAATACGAATAAAACACTTATTTTGTATTTTTATTATAGTCCGGTCAGGTCATATTTTTTGGTTTTTTCAACAAAGACGATTTTACTACAATTAGAATCTTTTATGACCTACTCAGTGAGCAATATCTGCTTCATTAATTGTTCAATATATAAATATCAACTGGCTTAAAACAAAATGAAGTTTTTACGGTATTTTGTCCAATCTAAACCCAAGAGTTAATTTATCGGATCAACAAGTGAACTCTGTTACTTTCAATTTATTTTGCAATGTAAAATATTATGTTTCACTACCTCGGTAGATTACCGACTTGAAATATCTGAACTCAGAAAAGAAACTGTAAAGTGACAACTCTGTTGAACGAAGGGAAAGCGTTTTGTATGCAATGTGCCCTATATTCATAAAAACACAACACTGAGAGACATTCCCTGCCCAGACACGACACAATTATCACAACCTAATTTAATTATATGAAGAAAAAAATCATGTGTTGTTTATCTCTGTTATGATCTGTTATTGATCCTATTGAAAATAAAATTGGATGGGCGCAATCTGTATTTTACTGCTCGATAAAAGTCCTTGGCGAAATTTAAAAAAGAAGTATTTCAACAATTAATACTATAGAATATTTAAATGAAATTATATCGTGTTCTACAAGAAAGAAATATGTGAAAAAAATGTGGATCAGATTTTTACGATCTACACATTTTCACAGAGGATCTCTACCAACGCCAAACAGGAACTGAACGACATGCATCCTGTTTTCATCTACCATTTATGTATATTGTTGACCATGGACGTATAAATAATGTCCAGGTTTATGTCCTGTGTTGACTGAGAAACGTAAAATTAAAAGGCTGGTGTTCGTTTATTCAGAAAAGGATTATATTTTAGATTCCGGTTAATCAATTGTAAAAGGACCTTCTAGAGCCTAAATCTTAAGGCATACAAATGTCAATCATTCCAAAGCGAATTTAAACCCCGAATGAATTTTCCCACGGTCATCCAGAAAGGTCACCTGAGTTTACTGTTACGTGATAATATTTCCCGCCAAATAAAAATCTCGTGGACAAAATTGATGTCACTTTTTTTAGCATTCAATATTGTGAGCGAAGTCAAGTTCAAAGTTCAACCACGGACTGTTGATCACTGAGATGTGTATCTTCTTCCCACGGCCATTAATTTCTTTTAAAAATTTAAAAATCACAGTCCTTTATACAACACACAAGTTTACATTCATTGTGCGTAAATGAATATTATGCAACGACAAGTTGATGCAGCTATCGAAGTATTCCTGTTGTAGCTGAAATGTAATTATTTATCCTAAAGTAATGCCAACAAATCGTAAAGAGAAAATGCCGTAGACTTATTAAGCATAACGAATGGTGAATAGTATTTTCTTTTTTACTTGCATATACAAATTTTGAGACACGTAATTTTCTTTAACCTGCTCACTTTTATATTCAGCGTTAGTTTCCGTTTATTTTTACGCAAGTATGTCTCTTTTCGTAAATAAAATAATTTACCGATGAACTTAAACAAGGTCAAAATCAAGTATAGTTTTTGTTATAAAACTTGAATGCAATTGAAAGAATTAACAACAACATTTTGCTTTTAAATCTTTAATTTGTTTCAAGCAATTATGTAATCGTAAATGAAAATGGCGTGGACTTATTAGCATAACGAATAGTGAATAATATTTTCTTTTTTACTTGTATACAAAACTTTGAGACATGTAATTTTCCTTTAAACTGCCCACATTTATTCAGCGTAAGTCTCCGTTTATTTTTACACAAGTATATCTCTTTTGTAAATTAAATATTAATTTACTGACCAGAAAAAAAACGAGGTAAAAATCAAATATAGTTTTTTTTTAATAGAACTTTTTTTAAATGTACAGTGTAATTGAAAGAATTAACAAAAAGTTTTGCTTTTAAATCTTTTATTTGTTTCAAGCAATCAGAAATATAACCTGATTATCAATAGACAGGAAATACAATTGTTTAATTACATAAGTAATCTCACATACCTTGACTGTCGCGTGCCGGTATAGATCAGAAGGATTAGGGCAATTAATTACCTGGTGTGACACGGCGTCACACCGGACTGGGAGAGATGTCGCTAATACAATAAACAAAAGGTAGCGAATTTTCGCGGAGGTCAGAGGGAATACTCCCAAATTTCTCCGAGAATTTAGGGAGGGATGTCGGAGTTTCCTGGTGTCACACCAAGAAAAAACTTGGTGTTCGGAGTTTGGGAAGCCTTTCGCGAAATTTGTACTGTATATGTTCCCTTATCTTTCAGCCATTTCGGTTATTATTGGCAATTGGGAAGGATAAAAAATACTTCTCTTGAACCCCCACCCGGGAACAAGTCAAATCGGCACCTATTTAAAGTTATTTCAGCATTTAATATTGTTTTTACCTGTTTCTTTCCTCGTTATTTAAGGTATGGGTTTTATGTTTGTATATATATATATATTTTGCAAAACTTACAATAGAAATAAGAAGATGTGGTACAAATGTATGAGTGCCAATGAGACAACTCTCCATCCAAGTCACAATGTGTAAAAAGTAAACAATTATTGGTCAAATTACGGCCTTCAACACAGAGCCTTGGCTCACACAATTTCATATGTTACATAGAAAAAAAAGTAAAAAGATACATTTTGTACATCATTAAAAAATCTGCACATGAAATTATGCAGTTAGAATACACAATAAAAAATAATCAGTTGGCTTGCTGTTTGAAGTTTTCTTGATATTTGTTTTCTGCATTTCCTGTCTACTTGTATAAAAAGAATAACGTTGGCACCATTTTTGTTAGCTGCAGAACCGTATGGTCCGCAAATTGTCAAAAAATATCATAAGGACCTATGAGCTACAGTTCCGCAGCTACATTTTTGTATGTTTAATAGTAAAGTGCAGTTGTCATAAAATAGAATTGCCTTTATAATATAAGTTTCAATAGAAACAGACGCAAATTGTCAAAAAATATCATAAGGAACAATGAGCTACAATTTTGTATGTATAATTGCAATGTGCAGTTGTCATGAAATAGAAGTTCCCTTATAACATAAGTTTCAATAGAAACAGATATTATGGCATTATTTATTAAAAAGTTTCCATTAAAACTTCTGTTACAAACTGAAAAAGTATTCGGAACAAATATAATATGTTAACACCGTGAGTGAAAATATTAAAACAAAAATATGGAAAAAACAGAGTCTTCAATAGTTTACTTGCAAAACATATCTTAATTTTGGGTGCCGATATAACTACCTCGGGTGCCGAATTAACCAGGTCCTGATTTAACTAGGTGCAGATTTGACCAGATGCCAATTTAACCAGGTGCCAAAGTGACTGAGTTTGAACTCCCCACCCCTCTGTAGACATACCTGAAGGGAGATTCATAAGGAAGTCTTGCTCTTATTTTAGTTGAAAACATTGTCAAATTATTGTTGAATGAATCATTTGTTGCCATTTGTTATTGCTGACTTATTTTCCTGTCATTGAAATACACATTAGACATGGTAGATGTACTGGAAAACATGGAAAAATCTCCAAGTTCTTTCTTGCCAGTACATATTTGTAGACCTGTCTTAAGGATCAGCAAGGATTAACATTCTTGGATCCTGTATTTGCATAGAAATTGTCAACTAATGCTTTCAACAGAGCAAATAACTTAAAGCATCCTCTTTAAATTGTTTTTGCCATTTGAAAAATAACATAAAAATAAGAAGTTCTGGATTGTTCCCAACCTTCCAAAACCTGATCATCTTTGTTCTAACTTCCAGCATAAAATGTCTGAAC